ATACTTTTAGCAGAATGATACTGTTAGCAGCATGATACTGTTAGCAGAATGATACTGTTAGCAGCATGATACTGTTAGCAGAATGATACTGTTAGCAGCATGATACTGTTAGCAGCATCATACTGTTAGCAGCATGGTCTTGTTAGCAGCATGGTCTTGTTAGCAGCATGATACTGTTAGCAGCATGATACTGCTAGCAGCATGATACTTTTAGCAGCATGATACTGTTAGTAGTGTAGATGAACATATGCATGATATATATTCATAAATTAAACGGATTCTTTCATTTTTCTGGACTGTATATAATGTGCATTGAATTTAGAAATGTAACGTGAGACGTTAATTATCTTTGACTCACCAACGACAGTGGGTCATTTATTAACAGAATCAAAGTTTAACACATCACACATTTACATTAATTGGCAAAATATGGAAAATAACAACATGGCTAATTTAGCAAGTTTTACACGGAGTAAACAATACGGCGATTGTTTTCTCACTTCCAGCTGTACAACAGACACTAACCACACGGCGGTGGTTGAAAAACTTTGCTTCAGACATTTCTAAAAATATCTGGAATGATTTCTAGCAGATAGAAGAATTTTAAAAATAGAAAGATGAAGTTTAGAGGGAGAAAAAGATGGGTGAGGGAGTTTGTTTGTGTCGGCACCAGAACGGCACTCTCCGGGTTTTTCCCAGCTTCTTCCCCAGTACACTTAGGTGGTATAAATCAACTCTTTTACCTGGAGATGTCTCCCTGGTACGAAAGTCCATTTAACGCACCCTTTCAGCATCTCCGTAGGAACAGCTGTGAATCGTCCGAAGTAGTGACGGTGCTTGTTCGACACAAGTTCACCTCACGAGTGGACTTCACATGAGTGGAGTCCGTCAGAGTTCCACTCAGAGGTGGAAGATGTCATAATCCTAATACTCGGAAGAGCTTTGAATCATGGCTGGACTTCTGTTCTCCCAAACGACTGGAGCTGCAAACTCTCCACCCGACTCCAACTGGACTCGACTCCAAACTCGACATGGTTGAACTAGGAAGTACCAACCTTTAAAGAGCTCTATTTCCGGTTCACTTGGGAGTTTCCTGATTGGTCGTTTCAACCAGACAGGGGTGTGTTTTTGTGACGTAAGAGGTCACTAGGATTTAGAAAACAGCAAGAATGTTATGGAACAGATTGAAAATGTTTTTCAGACAGACGAGAGGAATATTTAGACGAGTTGGCGGAAAACAGGTGCCCGCTTCTCTATTTACGTCTGAAAGGATTTAAAAACAAGACAGTTCGTTCCAACAACTTGTTTGCGTTTGACTCCAACCTTGGATCAACTTACACTGCTCATTCAAAGACAGAAAATCAGAAGATGCATAATTACTCTGTAACAGACCTTAACATGAATTCTACTTTGCATGAGGATTAAAATCATTATTACTGTTTCACAGTTAATTAAAAATGATTAGTTCACTGCAACATCTAAAATGGTTTGAACTAAAAACAATTTGATTATCAAACATTTGTAAAATAGTAATGATAATAGAAAAGAGAGTGTTCTTTCACTTGAACTCTTAAAGAAAGAAAGTCTCAGGATGGGTCAACCTGTATTTCTGGATTCAAATCAATGAAATGACAGTTTCTGTCCCATATGGTCCTTAAGGTCAGGACTTGACCTTAGGCCTAGTTCACTACAGTAGCATGATACTTTTAGCAGAATGATACTGTTAGCAGCATGGTCTTGTTAGCAGCATGATACTTTTAGCAGAATG